ATGGATGAATGTTCCTGATCTAACACGCGATTACTTATTGACGTAGACTATGGTGAAAATGTCATTTCATCAATAAAACATTATTCTAGGTTATTGACAAGTGGTTAGAAGGGGAGTTAGACTATGGCTCTCTTCCACCGATATTTGAATTTACCATAAGGGTATAATGAAAGGTGTTTTTACCAGTGTGTGACATCTTAGTGTGAGGTGAATAAAAGATAATGTCACCTAAAGTGTTTTCATAAATGGCGACAATGATCCAGCGTGGACCTAAGATGGTTGATGCTAGATTTTATTCTCTATATAAGATGATAAGTTCAGGTAACTAGTAAGTATTTGATGGTTGGTCCAGTTCTGGAGAGGGGGTACCTGGACTTTGAGATTTTCCTCATTTTTTATAGGTCGATTATAGGGTCTTTTGGACCTAGAATCTTCTATAGTAAGATAGGTGTGTGATGAGATATGTTTCGGTGTTTTACTCGTTCTATTATCTAATGCTCTTATTTCACTCACTCGCCTTGATTACTCACCTTAATTAGGTGTGTCTTTAAGGTAGAACTTAGTATGTTCCCAAGGTCCCATGATCCTTTTTTCCTGAATGCTTTATTATTCTCGTATGTTGATATCTTGTTCTTGATCTAACAACCAATGAAGTTATGGATCAAACCAGACATTCTTCTTTATCGTGGACTTATATTCTTATTGGACCATTATAAATATATCCAACTGTTCAGGGGGGAAATAACATCTATTTCACAACCCTTTTAAAAAGAGAATTTCTTATTGCATCTTATATGTTTCTAGTGCACTATGTGAATTTTCCACATATGCCCCATGATTTTGGAGATACATCTTCGAACGCACCCTAAATTCAGTGAACTTTGAAATATTTTGGAGATATATCTTCGAAACAATTTGGAGCTTAACTCATGTCAGACTCTTCTCCTCACTCATTTCATAGTTTCTTCAACACAAAACACCAAACTCTCTCAATACACTTGCCTACACCAAGCATTAAATTCCATCAAACAAGGTGTCATAGGAACTCAAGGAACATCAAGCATCATCTCTAATATTGGAAACAACATCTGAATCATTAATTTCACGTAAGTTTTTGAGTTTTCAGTAAATATTCGAGTTTTAGTGTAAATGTGTATAAATCAGTGATTAGGGGTAGAAATGTGTATAGATCACAAGTAACATAGTTTTAACTTAGTGTATGACTTGTTTGTTAGTTCAAAATGGCAATCAAATTATTTTTTTCACATTGCAAGAGGTACATTATGCCATTGTCGCAACCTCTGAATTGCAAAATATTTCAGAGATACATCTCCGGAATTGTTTAGCGTTTCATATCCTCTGGGATATTCCGAAGATGCATCTCCGGAATTATTCAAAGTAATAGTTTTATGTTGTTTTCGGATATGCATTTCCGGAATTGTTTTATGGTGTTTCCAGAGATGCATTTCCAGAAGATATATCTCTGAAATATCCTACAGTCTGTTTTTTTTTAAATTTTCTTGTTTGTATGTTTCATTTGCGTGCATTAGTGATATGTCTTACTTTACCTTACAACCATGATGGCTGACATAATTGATAGACTGAGACATGGTCGAGTTGCCCAGCAGGTCCGAAGGCAGCAGGTACATCTGGTCATGCAGAGACGTCAACTTCTGAGGCAGAATTTACTCTTGAGGCTCGTCCTTCACCTCAGGCGACTTCATCTCAGGCCATCCCACATTCATATCAGGACATTTCACCTTCTTCTTCTTCCCTTAGATACGAGATTCACCATCTGACACGTCACTTTCTCTATCCTCCCGTAGGCGTCATGATTCACTAGTGCCACCTTCTATGGATCCAGTGTCACCTCCCGCTAATGATCCTGCTGATCCCGTGCCACCTCCGGAGGGTCAGGATGCTGCGGATGTCGAGCCAGAGGATTTTGGAGGAGGTCCATATAATATATCGTTACTTACTTTGTATCCAGACCACACTGCCAGACATATCAGGGATAGAGAGGTAGCATTAGTTGAATTCTTTGTTTTTTTATGCGTTAATTTTACTTTAATTTCTGACAATGATTATTACTGACATTGTTTATTGCTGACGAATTTTAGGAGCATGATCCCTAGGAGTTTTTGAATCATGGAAGGAAGATTGCTGCATTGCCTCAGCAGGAGGAGGATTAGTTTCAGACGGTTCTATCTTTATCTAGTCTGAAGAACCTATGCATGATCGGTTACACGCTGTTCAAATGCAAGATGCTTAATGCATTCGTAGAGAGATGACATTCTAAGACCTCTATGTTTCATCTTCTGCATGGCATGGTGAGATGTCTATCACACTGGACGATGTCTCGTGTTTGTTGCATCTTTCAATCAGGGGAGATTCCTCAATCAAGGGAGGATGACCAGAGACGAGGTAGTCGAGATGATGGTAGAGCATCTAGGGGCTGATCTAGAGAAGACGGTAGAAGAGGTGGATAAGACCAGGGGTGCTCATACTAGATTTGAGTTCCTGAGGATGCTCTATGTGGCTGAGATCCAGAAGGCACAACAGGCTCATGGTGATGATGAGCAGGTAGCGGTCCACATGACACATGTATTGAGAGTGTATTTCTTTATTTGGTTGGAACTTGCATTTTTGTGGACACAAGTGCCACCTATACTGACGTCGCATACCTCTGATACTTCTTTGATTCTCATTCAGATCCATGAGTACAATTGGAGGACGACTTGACTGGCCTATCTATATTCAAAGTTGAAGGAGTGATGTATGTGGAAGACGAAGCAAGTCACAAGCAGCGCGATACTAGTGGTGGTATTAATTCTTGATCCTTGAATGTGTTTTTTTTATCTTTTTCATTTCATATTTGCGAAACCATTGCCGATAATTCTTGATCCCTGAATTCTTTTTTTATATTTTTTCATTTCAGGTTTGGATCCTCTAGCACATCCCGCGCATCTCTGGTTGGACGAATGTAGACAAGTACACTGAGGACATGCCGCGTGCCCATGCTTTTATCCCGCAGAGAGGGAACCAGGCGGTCGAGCCTTTCAGAGTCTATCTTGACTGTTTGATTGCTGAGGACATCCACTTCAATAACTACGTGGATCACCATCAGACACGACCATTTGACGACATATCGCTATAATTCGAATAGTTGGTCTGCGAATCACATCATGCGGAAGTTCGGGTACACCCAAACCATTCATAGACACCCTGTTGTCTCTGCTCCTCATGGCTTGTCTCGTAGATAGAGGAGATGTTTGTTGATTATGAGAGTCACCTGGTACCCGAAGAGGCTTGGGCTACCATACCGCCGAACGACTGGAGCTACGATGATGGGTACATAGGTGGTTTTTCAGAGTCTCACATTCGTACATAGTGCAAACTGCTCTAGGAGATCCATCGAGACCAGTTCATCAGGAGATTATAGAGGATGAACAGACTCAGCTAGATCATACTGATGATGTCTGGCCTCGATATCGTCGCATAATGGAGATTGTGTGGGCATGCATTGACGAGAGTATCTTTTCTAAAGGGTCTGCTATCAGGCGAGTCCGGAATGTCGTGGTGGCGAGGGCACAAGGAACACTGTTGTACCAGAGACATCGCCAGAGGACGGGAGGATTGATGGTCAAAGAGGCAGACCAGACAGATGAGGTATAATAGAGGTTGTCAGACACACTGAGTAGTTGTCTGTTATTATTTTATTGTAGTACTATTGTTTGTACTTTATTTCTTATATTGTTACTACATTTTAAATCTCGTTATATACGACATTTTTCTATTATATTGCCATATTATTTTCAACACATCCAATATTAGTCTCTTTCTCTTATTATTATGTATGATTATTTTTTTATTCGAGATCGTGCTTCATTTAAAAATAAATACACAACTTATAGTAAAAAAAAACACATGTTTTGATACAACTCGCAGATGTATCTCCAAAATATTACTGGAGATGCATCTCCGAAAGAATTCAAATGTAAAAAGCTTCTCGATAATATGTTATGAATGTTTAAAATAATTCCAAAGATATATTTCTAAAATATGTCAACGATTATTTAAAAATAGAGTACATCCGAAAATATATCTCCGAAACTAAAAACACACATAAAAAAAATTTACATTTTATGTTACATTTTATGTTAAAAGTATATAAGATGCATTAAGAAATTCACTTTAAAAAAAAATTCTATTTTTCCAATCCCTTTTTGCAAATCGTCTTCTAATAATGGTTGTAACACCTTCACTACCGAAACTCAATATTGTGATCATGACCTTATTATTTATTTCTTCGAGGTCAAACCAAAGATTCAATGATTCCTCAACAAGAACGCCGACTTAAAATTGATCTTTTTCGCTCAAACCTACTTTTCTTTTTCTTTCTATAAATTCTTATAACAAAAACCTCTCAAACAAAACAAAAATCCAATTTTAAACCCAATGCAGTCCCGAATTCTAGGTTTTGCACTAACTGCAAAAAAAATATAACCATGCGTTTGATATGTCATTTCATCAATAGTTTTCCTCCTATTTATCAAACAAAGAAAGCCATCAGCAATACAGAAACTATTTCTCAGAGAATATGCAAAAGACACCCACCATTCACAAAGGAGAAATTCAAGGTCATTTAGCTATCCTTTCATCAACAAACACTCCTCAAATTTCAGCACTAATTAATAATCACAATCTTCTCTCTGATTAAACATGTTAAAATTTCCATCAATTTGATTGTTGCACCATTCTCAAAACATGCGAAGTACCAAAAGAGAAACAAAATTTATAAATATAGTTGCAATCAATCCTATAAAGGTCTTATTTTTACATCAGTCCTTGAGCTGACAAACTATCAAATTTATGCCAAACAATTAAAAGTTCTGAAAAACAAGTAAACAAATATTTGAAACACATTTGTTTATACGGTTCAATGCCACAAGTTACGTACTCTTTGCAAGGAATTCCTTTATGATGAAAATACTCTCACCTCACCTCCGGGTCTCTGCGTAGTCATTAGGTTCGTCATTGTTCTCTGTCACATGGTTGTTTTCAAGTGGCTCAACGAAAACACCGCCATCTTGGGGGCTACCATGTTGACCATCATATCCCAGATTAGAATTGCTTCCGTGTTCACCAGGAGCAGCATAACTAGTCTTGGCATTGCCACCACTATAGCTTCCCGGAGCACCATAACCACCACTTCCATAGCTTCCACTGTTGTTATTATCATTACGGCCATAAGTACTACCACCATAGCCACCACCGCCAAATCCACCACCACCATATCCGCCACCGCCGCCATAGCCACCACCACCGCCGCCATATCCACCACCTCCACCATAGCCGCCACCTCCACCATAGCCGCCACCTCCGCCACCAAACCCAGGGCGTGACCTTTCTGTAGCATAGTTCACGCGTACTGTCCGACCATGAAGATCCTGTGACAACATGATATTAGATGCTAAAAAAAGAAACATTTCCAACATTTTGAGTCCTGCAAATAGTTTTTCCTTAATTTGTATGAAACTAAATCTTGCAAAAAGTACTATTCTCTTTCTTTCGCCAATAGTTTTTCCTTAATCTGTGTGAAACTAACAAGTATGACAACTATTACAGGACCGGGGAGTATATCTTTCAAATACTCAGGCAGGCTTTTGAAATATAATTCCATTTTAAAAGAATTTGCACGGTTGCTCTAATATTGATCTAAAACAATTAAAAACATATAATTAGAACAAAGAATTAACAAAAAGAATACCGTAATGCAGGTAACAAGGGTATTACAAGTTGTAATACTCTTGTCACCAGCATTATGTAATTTACAGCTACATACGCATATGCATTCAATATTTCTATCTTATCTAGGCTAAACAACTGCAATTACTTCCTCCGGGTCTGAACATAAGGTGTTTCACTATTTCATAATATCCATATTTAATATGAAACAGTGAAAACTCTAATTTCTTCGTAAATGAGGCTTTAAGTCATGCTAACAATCTAAATTGTGTCTAAAAAAAAAGTCATGCTAACCATCTAAATTGGTGAATTTTTTAGAATTTAGCAAGATGAATTATCACAAAAACCGATTATACCTGGCCATCCATTGCCTGAAGGGCAGCAGATGCATCCTCGCTTGTTGTATAAGTTATGAAGCCAAAACCTCTGGACCTGCCGGTTTCACGATCCATAATAACCTTTGCTGGAAAACATTTAAAAAGACCAGTTTCAGTGTACAAATCAGTAAACACCATATTATGAAATACATGTGCTTCACATGGCTACTGTTTTTATTGTTTGTTTTATAAACATTTGTTGCTGTTTGCCATTTTGTTAAATGTGAGAACCGGTGGCAACTAAACAACTACAATTGCAAACTAATTCTCTAATAAATAAGTGACTTATACTTTCAAGAAATATTTTCATTTATCAAAACAAAGTAACACTAACCATTCTATCAAATCATACAAAAATTGAACTTCTTGTTGGATTGCTTTGGCTCACTATGTAAGATTCAGAAACAATTTAAGAGTGGAAACTCATGTTTTTTTTTTATAGACAAATGTTGGAGGTTAATTTGTTGGGGGAGGGGAAAATCTGTTTGCAGGCAATATGGTCAAGCACGAGATCTTAAAGCAGGATTAGTCGGCTTGTGAAAGATCGTAAAACTCGGATCGTTAGCACGACACGTAAGAAAAGGGGGCAATTTCATACATATATACAAACATATACACAGAAACATGAAAATCATAATACTGGCCTAAAAAATGACCCAACACGTTTTATTACGATCTTGATCACATGATTCACGCCGGCGACGAAAACGATCTCTCTCTAATTGTAGCACTCTCACGCATCCTTAGCACATACGATCTTACGATCTTATAATCCAACACTCAATCTTGACTACACTGGCAGCAGGGATTGAACTCTGGACCTACTTAATATTCCTTCACAGTCCTAACTCAAACAACTAGGCTACTACACATTCATGGGACAAACTCATGATTTGTTTGATATTACCTCTACCTAAAATGATGAATAACTAGAAGATTGTGAGAGCCAGAAAGAAAACTACCATCAATAACTTCCCCATAGCGAGCAAAATGTTCTCGGAGACTGGTATCGTCGGTGCTATATGAAATACCTGCATTGTATTTGCAATGTTAAAAATTACAGCTAAATTACATTTAGAAAAACTCAACATGATAACCTAGCATACCTCCAACAAAAAGCTTGGCAGATGACATAGATCTAATCGCTTGGAATGCCAAAGGAGTAGACATAGAAATATCATGATTGATGTGCTTGACAGCAGAGCTCTTGAGTAATTTCCCAATTTTACCAAAGAACGCCATTGCTCAAACCTTAAAAACATTGAACCGCAGAAAATTAGTATCACTAAAACGATATATCCATTGTTCAATATAACCAAGTTCAGCTAAATACAAACATTCTACCAGAAGTTCCATTTAATGAACTAAAATTTTCTATTTTATCTTATGAAATAGAAATCTAATTTCACATTAGCCACATTCACTCTCTCTAACTTCCATTTTATTAAAATATTATCTGTCTCGTATCTGTGTCGGTGCTTCAAAACTATTTAGCTATCTATGTCTCTCTCCCTATGAAGCCCATACACCACCAGAAATACTACACATCAACACTGATAATAATTTGAAAAATGAATAAATTAAACCTAATCACAAGTGTCGGTTTATCTATGTGCCAGTGCTTCATAGCTACTATTTAGCTAACTATGTTTCTCTCGCTATGAATCACGGACACCGAAAACACAATACCGACACCGGTAATAATTTGAAAGATAATGAATAAATTAAACCTAATCACAAATGTCGAAGGTGTCGGTTTCGGACACAACACTGACACATCTTTTATCAGAGGTGTTGGTGCATAGTTCTCTCACACTCAAATGATGACTAGAAAAGTCTATTGTTCTAATAAATGCTCATATGATCAGAAAATATACCACAAACTTGTAAGCAAAAAAATCCTATAGCAAAATCATTACTCAATATATCAAAACTCAAATGTAAAATTTTAAGTTCATTTTGATTCAAAAACCTAATTGAATATTTCACAAAATAAAAGGCTTACAAACAGTAAAATACAAATCTTGCACAACATTAAGCATCACCAAATCAAAATACTGAAAAATCCATAACTACTAGAAATCCAAATAACAGGTAAATACTAAGAAATTAACAAAATTTATATAAGCTGAAAGGAAAAAGAGTGAAATCATAACTGAAAATGGGGAAATTAGTAGTGAGAAAATTGTGATGTTGAGATCTTAATACGTACCTTGGAAAGCGCTTATCGTTGTTTGTGAAGTCGAAAGAATGAAATGAAAATGCTTAAACCCTCAATTTTTATGGTGACCTAAATAATTAGGGCTTTGAAAGTGACACGTGGTGGCTTCTCTGTTGTCTAGATGCTTCTGTATCAACCGTTTGGATTTTCTGTATGTTATTTTGCTTTTTTTTTTTTAATTTCTTTTATTCGTAAGACAAAAAATTGTTTTTTTTTTTAATTTCTTTTATTCATTTTAGATTTTTATGTAAGTGTTCATCATAATATTTTAGAAGTTATTCTCGTACTTTAATTTAATTTTTGTCAATTAGATAGATATATTTAGACAAATTTTTACACTTTCTCTTTTTTATAATTGTGAAATCTTTAAGATTTTTTACCATATACATCAATTATATAAAAAAAATATGTGAATACGATCAAGAAGATCAACAGAACAGAAAGACACAATAAGAAGAAAATTTGGGAAGGAAGAGAAGAAGAATGAAAACTTCATTCTTCTACACTCAGGAGCAAACAATTCATATTCTGCTTAGGAGTTTAAACCTTTGTGTATCTGCTCATCTAAGAAGCACACATGTAAACACAAGGTTAATATCAAATTCTTCTAATAAGAGAATTTGAAGACTCTAGTCATTGTGCTAAGAGTAAGTCTCATTCTAGATAGATTGAGCATTGAAGTCACATACTTGCGGACAGAGCAGGAAGTCTCGGTCGGTGTGATTAAGCATTGAAATCTCATGCTTGCGGGCAGAGAAGGATGTCTCCTTAATAGGTTGTTTAGGCAAGGACGTCTCATGATTAAGCGCTTGAGTGGAAAGTCTCATTCTAGATAGATTGAGCAGGAAGTCTTGAATAGAGGGTTTAAGCGAAAAGTCTTGAGTTACTGACTTAAAAAATTGTAATATGATTTATTATAGTTAAAAGCTCTTATGCTGAAAGGGGACTGGACTACTCTCAGTTGAGAGGAACTAGGATATATCTTGTGTCTCTTTATTTACTTCTGCATTTATATTCCACCGTGCAACAAACTTTGAAGTCAGATTCTGATCTGATTTAGTCTCTTACTTGGATCAGAATTTGTACTTGACACCTCAAGTTCTAAAACAGGATTAAGAAAATGAGGTAAAACTTTTCACTTCTATTACTCACTCTAATATCAAAATCTAAACGTGGTTCTGAATCTGATGTTTCAGAATTATAAGTGCAAAGAGATTTTTGGGCATACACAGTTCAACCCCCACCCATTTCTTGTGTAATTTTCCCACTTTCAGATAGTATCAGAGTTCGGCTGTGCTTTTTCACTTAACAGTGAAACAAAAAAGATCGGGTGAGAAAAACTACTTAGTCAGAGCTTGAGCTTGAATGAGAATTTTCCTTCATGAAATCAAAGAATGGAAGATATAGAAAGATGAGCTTAAGAAGGTCGTGCCAGTGTTATGCTGAGTGCTTAAATATAAGCATACAACCTATAAGGAACTTTTGAATAACTAAAGAAAGAGTTCTTTAAAATTTATATGGATCAAGAAACTTATTTCTACTATAAGTCATTTATTTTGTGAGTATGAAAGAATTTTTAATCTTTAATACTGACTCATGGGACAAGTGTACTTGTTGAAGAAATCAAGAAACCTTTTCTGATTTAAGTCATTTGTTTTGGGAGTATGAAAGGATTTTTTAATCCTTAAGACTGACTCATGGGGAAAATGTGCTTGTTGCAGGAATCAAGGTTTACTCTTAATCTGCTTAAGGCAAGATGTCCACACACATCATTGGTTGTGATGATAAGTTATGGGACACTCTTGAAGACAACGTTAACTAGAAGATCAATGGTGTTGGTATGGTAACAAATCTTGAGGAATCTTCCTGTAAGATACAACTTCAAGGTTACAACTTTTTCAGGAGGCTAAAGACATGAATACTCTAGACCTTGAAAGGTTGATATGTAACCTTCGGAGGCTTTGAATGGAACTTAATGATGATGAACCTATTTTGAAACTTAGATCTCTTAAATTACAGTCTAATGCTGAAAGGTATGGTGATAAAAACTTCCAGACCCTCAAGTGTTAGAAAAACCAGAAGAAGCTTCTAATGGAGAAGATTCTAATGGGGACTCCGAAAATGAGGAAATGGATTTTATCCTCAAAAAGTTTCAAAAGCTGACGAAGAAAATCAAGATATTCTCTGGTAGAGGTTCTAACTTCGGAGGTTCCAGTTCCATAAAAAATTTTCCTGATCTACAAAAGGACATATTCAGACAGAGAAGCTGAAGAAGTCAACCTTGCACTTATGGCTGACACACTCTCTAATTCTGAATCCTAGTTAAGTTTTGACTCAGAATCTGATGAGGTTGTTAAGAAACAAATTGATTATTCTTAAATAAGAACTGAAATCTTCTTAATAAATTGTTGATACATTGGAAAGAAATCTAGCTGCTCAAGTTAAAAGCCATTTAAAGGAATAATTAAGTGTGCAAGATTTGGCTATCCAAGATCTCTTGATAATGGGTCTTAACAGAACTTAGCTTGCTTTCATGATCTATGGAGTAAGCAAGAGCAATGGATATGGTGTGGGTTTTCATGAAAATGTCTTGATTCCAAAACCTTGACATTGAGAAAACCTCGAAACCATATTCTTCTAGTTATGCTTATAAAAGGTTTTAAAACATTGGCGTATTTGCAGCTGAATGTAGCAAGATTCTGAATACACTAGAATCAATGATAGAAAAGTAAAAGGTTTTTATTGGAATAAAACCTAAAACTTCAAAGTCAGTAGTTTCTGAAGAAATCGGATATTATGATCCTTAGATCAAAAGGTGAAAGAAATTCAAAACATATGACCTACAAGAAAAAGGTTGCAAGGAGACCTAAACCAAAGAACTCTGAATCCAAGTGTCTAAAATAATCAGAAACTAGGATATAAGGCGAAAGATTTGTTTTGGAGCCTGGATGATGGACATTTACAACCTAAAATAAGAGTAAAGCATATGTTTCAGATCCTATCTCAATGGAGAAGATGATTGTTGTTTCCAAGTCCCTGCTGAACATAAATATGCTTCAACATTAGATATTCTTAAAGACTGATTCTTTTTGGAAAGAATATGCAGAGGATGTTCATAATCTACACATAGGTATTTCAATCATCCTCATTCTCTAGACAACTTTTATGCATGATAAGTTATATGTAATTGGTTTGTGTTTATGATATGTCTGTGCATAACCAGTTTGGATAACTTACTTGTGTGAGGATTCTCAAACCTATGTAAAGAGTATTTATACCCTTTGGATAAATATTATGGCTATTTGAGTATATTATTATTCCTGATCTTTAAAAGTTTTCTTTTGATAAAGAGTATCAAAGGCTGATATTAATCAGAAGCAGCCTCATCAAAAACCTAGAATAGTTTATGATAATAAGGGGCTTCTAAAAAGTATCAGACTCTAAAACTCAACAAAGGAATAATAAAACTCAAATAACATTTAAGTGAAAAATACTTTTGACATCTGTGTCACTTTAAAAATTCACGAGATTGAAAATTTATCATGCATGCTCTACAACTGTATATGCAGAACCTATGGAGTAGTGATGCTCTATCCTCTAGATATTTTATGAACTCTCTCTCTCTCTCTCTCTCTCTCTCTCTCTCTCTCTCTCTCTCTCTCTCTCTCTCTCTCTCTCTCTCTCTCTCTCTCTCTATCTCTCTCGTCATTTCTTACTTTTCCTTTGTAATTGTTTATCTTACTTATTGGTTTTGCAAAATATTTTCTGAGAATTGTCTTTTCAAAATCTAGTTCTCTTAAATCTTTTGGTTAAGCCTTTTCATTTCCTATTTAAACTGATCTTCCTCAGCCTAGGTTTTTCATTATTGTGTTACAACTTGTATCTCAAACCGGGTTGACATAGTCGTACAACCTTGCTCTGGTTTTTCAAAAACTCTTATCTCTAGCTCTTGTCCTAACCTTGGATGACCTTTAAGCTTAAACCTTGGCATGAAAAACCAACTGGAAAGCATCAATGAAAT